TTGTTAGCCGTGGAAGTCCACTCGTCAAAAGTTAAACTAAATCGTTCACCTGTATTTTTTAACTGTTTCAATTCGTCAATTATTTTTTTCCTGATTGTTAAACTAAAATGTATACACGATTTCGAATTGTTACGGCTGATTTTGGTAAATCAGAGTAACCTTTGGATATTAATACCTATCTTAAATCAGTTGAAGTTATAAAAACAATAAAAGGGAAACCATCCAAAGCTGCCATTCGAGCCAAAACATGATCCAGTGTATCACTCTTAATAAAATATTCAACAAACTTGCGTTTAGCTGGCGGTGTCGAATTTTCTTCTACCGGTTCTTCGCGTCCATTCCCAGTTAATGAACGATTGCCATCAGATAATACTTTAAAATTATGTATTGATGACAAATGGGTATGTAAACCTTTTGTTGATCCTCCCAACGTCTTCAATACGATTGGACATCGTTTACATCGCGCACTTTTTCCATCGTTTGCGATTAGGAAATGACTCCACGGCAACGATGTATCCAAATCTTTTTTGTGTTTAATAAAAACAGTATCAAGTGAGTGTGACATTTTATAATTGAAGTATTAAAGTTAAATATTCACAGTTAAACATACAAAAAAAAGACTCGTGAGCCGTGAGCGTGACTCTTAACTGTAGCGCTACGTGTTGAATGTGTTCAGAGAACAGCGTAGTACCAATACTAATTTGTTCATACGGATACCGATCGGTCGTAAATATATTCTCTTAAGTCATAACTTATAACATAATATAATCTTATCTTATCTTATAAACATGTTAATCGGAATCAACACCAGGGTAATTAAATTATAAAGTCGTTATTACGTAGTCCCGACAATCCCGGGATTATTTATACTGGGCCCGGTATTTTCGGTACCTAAAAGTAGTCGGGATCCTGGGATTGTAATCTCTAATCGAAACCTACACCCCGGGACCGTGATCTAACGCCTAAACCTGCCTACCTATAATTTGAGGTATCGATATACGTCAAATCTACCACACTTAACCCTGCGTAGGTCACGTGCCTTGATAGTACGCCGGTCCTTTGAATTACAGTTGTAATCCATTGTTTTTTTTTTTTTTAATAGGTTTTAAGTCTATATTGAAAATTTAAATTATTGTTATACATATACTAAGTACATATTGAAAAATAAGAAAAAATAAAATTTTTTATTTTTTTACTTTAGAATATGAATTTTAATTTAAATGGGAATAAATAATAATTTATTAGAATTTGCTTTCTTAAATTATAATGATACTCATATGATAGATGTAATTACATTTTTATAATATTTCTGTATTAACATTAATATTTAAATATTTTACATATATTTTAGCTCTGTATATTAATAATTACAAAAAAAACAAGAGTACTTTAAAATTTTTACATTTTAAAACTTTTAATCCTAGAAAAAAATACATTTTTATTGATTTGAAATAATTTAAGATGATTCTTCACTGTGTTCTTCATCACAACACCCAATACAAATATATTTTAAATGTTCTGGACACACCCATTTGTAACAAGTAACAGCGTTCACAATGTTCACATGATTTTCTCGTACTTTTGTTTCTTGCTCTTCCACACAAATAACATCGACCAATTCCCTTAGGCCGTTCAGACAAAATAGGAGTATCTTCAACGAGGCCTACAATTTTCATACCACGACTCCTAATATGTTTTGGTAATTTTTAATTTTTAATACGTCTTTCAATATTCGGGTTCATCAGTTGTAAAGCTAATGCTTCTAAAAAGTCTGATCTTTTAGATTTATTGTTGATATGCGTAGTTAAATTTATTTACACATTCAAAGCATTTATACATGATATATAAATTAATATAAAAATTATGGTAAGCGTCCAACGACGAGAATTTCTTGAAACGTCATATAGACTTCACATTTGGTCTAATCTATCAACGCCATATTTAGTTTGGTTGTAAAATGTAATCATCTCTGGTTTTTGTTGATCCCCCGTGTCTTGATCGATAGAAGCGTCATTATGCAGAATGGATAGCAGTATAACTACTTTATTTGTTTTCAGGACATATGAAGTGATTGTGAAATCTTTTTGGAAACCAAATAATGACGAATTTATTTCCCTATTTTTTGAAATTGAAAATTCTTCTGGAATACATGTTTTATTTTTTCTTAAAGTCCCCACTTCTGTCAATTGTTTTTCAGTTAGTAAATATTTTACCATTGGAAGTGAAGTGAACCAGTTATCCATGGTTATGTTCCTTTTAGTTCCTTTCACTGGCTGAACCACTCTTTTGACAACACTTTCCACACTATTATTCATTTTATTAGGACCATTTGGTTGTTGTCCGGCATAAACCTCCAAATTAAATGTATATGCATTTTTTACGTCTACAAGAGCGAATATTTTTATTTCATATCGGGCAGTTTTATTTGGAATGTATTGTCTGAACGAACATCTACCGTGGAAAGCAATTAATTGTTCATTTAATGTTAAATATCCACTCGGAATAAAATTATTTTGAAAACTGTGTACTAGAACTTCAAAAAGTTCCCTTATAGGAGCCAATTTATCAATTTCTCTTCTTTCTGAGCGGTGGGTAAGATCGTCAAAACGCAAATTTCTAACTAAAAATCTACAAGGTTGAACATTCATAGTTAGATACACAGCCTCAACTACAGTTCCCTTGGAATCATCAAATAAATTAAATATATTTTGTCAACTAGATTTAGAAACTCCTGCAAGAATTAAAATACCAATCAAAGCTTTAATTTCAACATCATCAGTTTCCCTAGCATCTCGAGCACGTTCATAATTTTCTAAATGAACAATTATATTATGAGAACGTCTCCGATGGCTACTAGTAGGTGCTTGCTTATTCCATCTAGTTTCATCCTTCCCAAAAAAATATTTATTTTGTAATATTGGACCAACATCATCACTAATTGACTCACTTTCACTTTTATAGTCACTATTTTCCGTATCCGTGTTTTCATTATTAATTTCTACCCGATCCCCCAACTCATCTTCACTGTCAATGTTATTTCCATTAATACGTACATCTTCATCTTCTGCTAGCCATTGTTCAATATCGATTGTATTGCTCATTTTTTTTTTATTATTATTTTAAAATTAATACGTAAATAAAAACTTTGATTATAAAATAAACTGAAAAAAAAACGGGAGTGAAAGATCGCGTGGCATACACTGGTAACCTAACACACTTTGAACTCCGATAACAACGACCACTTTTGCGATCAGTATTCGGAAACAAACTAATTATATTAAGCAACATGTTATTCGAACTGAAAAGATAAGATAATTCTATTGGTTTTCAATATACGAAAAAACCATTTATTTTTAGATGGATTACAATAGTAATCCGCGTGGCCTACCTACGCAGGGTTAAGCTATTTTCCAACCATACCAAATATCGCATTAAACATTGCTTAACCGATTAAATTCATAAGAATTGTGTGTAATTAAACCTTAAATCACATTTCCTTACTTATCCGGTGTGTATATAATTAAATTTCCATCATTAATTAAATATATATTTTACTGCATTAGATAAATATACACTGTTTGAATATATTTTATTAAAATTTAATTCATACTGGGGTCGTGATGCGTCAATTAACGTAGTATCTAATTAATAAAGGTTATCATAGACATGTCAGTAGTATACAAATGCGAATACACTACAATTCAGTGGCGTGAAGATCCCTTTTTCCATAAGGGGCAAAGTTAATTTTTTTACACCCACCACCCACCCAAAACTAAAAGTTGCAAATAAATTATAAGAAAACATAATTTTTTTAAACACAATATTTATTTAAAAAAAAATTGTAATTCAGATTCCACTATCATTTTTTATAGTTAATAGCTATTCAGTATACAATATACATTACAACAACTAACTGGGATTATTAAAATAATAAGCACAATTGCTTTGTGGTTAATATTTTTAGAATAACAACTACTGCTATTAATATATAAATAATTATCTGAAATAATCAAATGTAGTGAATTTTTAATAACTGCAGACAATGAGTTTTTATTTTAATTTTAAATATTTATTGTATTTATAAGTCAAGATCCATTATTTATTTATTATATTTATATTATTAAGAAAATTTGATAAGTTTTACTAAATTATTTATTTATTTAATAACGATAAATTATTTAAATATTTGATTAATTTCTAACCAACCTATTTAAATCAATTTTGTAGAAAATATTTTAAACATTTGCTAAAATTAAATTAATTAAAACAACTTCAACGGTCAAAATCATTTTATTTTATTTATTTGAACATCAATGCATCCTTTAAAACCTGTGATGATAATCCAAATGTATCAATAACTTCATTATAGTTAATTTGTTTGTTTTTCTCACAACTGATTAACATCAAACTTTCCAGCCTATTTTGATCAATAGTGGATCTTAATCTGGTTTTGATTAACTTCACTTAAATTAAAAATTAAAATTAATTAATAAATAAATCTATATAATATTTTGTAAGCTCAGAACTATACCTCAGAAAAGGTACGTTCTGCTGACGCCGAAGTAGCAGGTATAGTCCCAAGCGCTTTATAGGCCAAGTATAAGTTTGGGAAAGCTGACATCAAATTATAATTAGATAGTACATGCAAATTTGTATTGATTGTAATTTTGGTTTCCGGATTTGCTAGACCTGTGTTGTTCTCATCATCAGTGATAGTATTGTCACTTGAATCCGTATCATATGTATCATCTGGGCTATCTGGCTTGTGTAACAATAATGGTGTTTCTAATCCTGAAACGAGATCTCTTAAACTATGACTAAACATAATGTATTCACGTTTCAAATCATTTCCGTTAATATCTTTTAACCAATTTGATATATTATGGAAACTATCTTCTGGAATGGATTCATTGTCTTTTTTCATATTCATCAGTCGTTCAGGAGATAAAAGAGTTTAAGTATTTCTCTGGCACCACTAAATCTAGAATTAATTGATGAAATTATTTGATCCAATACTTTAAAGTATGTATTTGTTCTATATCTATCACATACAGAAACAGATACTTCATCATAAATATTTTCACCAGCCATCCTTTTTTTTTTCTTGGTCTAGTTTCTTTAAAACTTAACTCTGACATGTTGTGTTTTTCAGCAAAACGTTTTGCCTCATTTACTGTTGATTCAAATTCTGCATCACAGCGCATAGAAGTTAATTTTTCTTTTGATGCATCAACCAAATTTAATGCGTGGATAAAATCTATGGATTTACTTTGTAAGTAATTGGATAAAGGTGTGGTTATTGCAAATATATTTTTATTTAAGATCATTGTGAGAATAAATTCAAATGTGATTACTGTTAAAAGACTTTTAGCACCCGACGAAGTTACTCTATCATTGTAATTTACTAACCTTTTTAATGTTTTTAATATTGCTCCAAATCTTTCAAATAGAACAGTTATAACCCTTCCATGTGATGTCCATCTAGTGTCGGAAAAGCATTTTAGCCGCCGTGTTCTATCACCCGGATATAACTGCTGTTGACATTCGATGAAAGTGGCAGTTATTTTTCTTGTCCGAAAAAATGAAACTAATGCTTGAACTTCACCAAAAAAATGTTTCGTTACTTCACAACAATCACAAGTATCTACAACAACCAAGTTCAGTAGATGTGCAAAGCGCCATACATATATAGCGTTGGGATTTTCTTTTTGAATTAATGTCCGAAGACCAGAATATATGCCTTGCATAGATGCAGCACCATCATAGGACTGCGCACATAGATTTTGACGCCAGTTTAAATTATACTTTTCAGTTATACTGCAAAATTTTTTAAATAACCCTTGTCCGGTTCCATCAGCTGCGGTTTCCAAAGCTACCAAACGTTCTACAATACTACCACTATTGTTCACATATCTCAAAACAAATGTTAATTGTTCATAATTGGCTATATCATTGGTAGTATCAATGATTACTGCAAATATTCCTGCATCCATGACATCTTTTAATATTTGTGAACGAATTAAGTAGGACATAATGTTCAATAATTTATTTTGACTTCTGTTAGATATACATGATACTCTTTGGCGTGTATTAGACATATTTGATCTAAATGATTTTTTAAACCAGCGTGGTTATTACTCAATACACTTAAAAGCTCTAAAAAATTTCTTCTGATAAGGGAAGTTTTTTTTTCATTATGTCCACGAAGAGCTATGTTTTGGCGAGCAGTATATAAAAGTGCATCTATGATCACTCTCAATAATTCCCTATTTGAAGCAATTTGTTGATTAGCAGAATGTAAAAGTGTTAAATCCAAACGTTGATTTTTAGTATAAATGCCACAACTTATTTCTGCTTGTAAATGTTCTGTTGAGGATTCATAGTTTTCAATAGTTCTTTTTAAATGTTTCCAATTGTTAGATCCATGGTCCACTAAATTCCAATTTTTACCCTTTTTTAAACTGAATAGCTTGCAAGTTGTACAAAATATTTGGTCCACTGTTGGTGAATATGACAGGCATTGACGTTTAATTGGAGTTGGTTTAGTGGGAATATTTGTAAAATAGTAACATTCGTGAAATGAATGTAACTTTCCTGTTGAGTCTTTTGTTTTTGGAAACATTTTATTAGGTAAATCAAAAGGACTGGGTTGGCACGCTCCATGTTCAAAAAAATAATTAAGCAAAACATGTGAGAGCTTAGATGGAATTCTAATAGGATCATTTGGGAACAAACAATTTTGTAAGTCAATATTTTTCAAATTAGAAATTGATATTGTTTTGTCCACTTCATCATTTATATCATGCAAGTTACTATCAACAATATGTTCATCTATAGACAAACAAATTTGGCTATGTGCAATAGCCTTGTATATTTAAGCCATGGTTTATTATATATATATATTATATATATATATGTATATATTATGTATATATATTGTTATAGTTTATATTATATTATATTACAATACATTTTTCTTGGCTATGGCCCTTATGTTAATTGTTTGAAATCAATAAACCATGGAAGCGTCGCAGAAGAATGCAAAAGCAATTCACGTGGCGCTGTCGGTTGAATCAAAAAAATGTCTATATTGTCTCACTTATGTTGACATGAAAATGTGAGATACGGATAGATGTCAAATCTACCGTACTTGAGCTGTTTTTCCATTATAACAAATATTGCACTAAATATTGCTTAACCGATAAAATTCTTAAGAGTCGTGTAAAATTAAACCTTGAATTGCATTCCTATATGTTTCTGGTGTGTGTTTAGTATAGTATACTATAATTCCTATCAATAATTGTCTACATACAATATACTTTACTACATTAGGTATGTATAGATTGTTTGAATGAAATGTATTAAAAGTTATTCTAAACTATAATAGTGCATACAATTAATAATGGTAATTATCAACATGTCAGTAGCATACATTATACGAATACACTGCAATTTCTGATAGATCTTCTTAAAAATTATACTAATATGGACATGATAATGAATTGTGAAATATGGTTAAAGAGTAGTCATCTATATTATTATGTGAATATTGTCTTACTCGTGTTGATCTAAGTATTAATGTACCACATAACAGAGCATACATTGAACTATATAAAAACAGTTGAACCTTGCTCATCAAAATAAAATCCAGTATAATATTTGTGTTCAACAATTCTCAAATCAATAATTTTATCCTGGACGTGAGAGTAATTCTCTAATAAAAATGTAACAGTATTTATTATGTACTATCTGTGAACTAAATGTGTGTGCGCCTAGCAACGTCTAGTCAATGTCGGTTTATTTGAAGAAAATAGCTCTGTCGACGTATAATAAATATAATTAGATAAGTTTACACGATATGAGACCCAGAATTTAGAATGGTTTTTTGTGCGTTAAGCTCAGTCACTGCTATGCTGTCATCATTATGACTAAACGTAGACATCAAATCATAACCAAGCCTATTATTTATCATGGATTTATAATATACATCGGTCAGCTCAAAATATCCATCCCTCGTTATTTATTATTTACTATTCTCGAGTACATTTAAACAACAGACATTTGTGTACGTCCAGCGATATGAATTACTGTGTGAATAACAAAATTTGATTCAATTTAATTTAATTTAATTTAACAGAAGTACTGTCGAACACGTAACATAACATCTGTTTGCTAAATTATCTAAATATCTAAAGGTATTCGATCATAAAATAAGCCATTTAAAACGATATATATATACATACATTATACATAGAAAAACGCGAGTTTTGCGATCAAAGTGTCGGGCCCCGCGGACGGCGGGGACTTCAACCTCTACCGACCGGAAAAACTTGTGAGAAACGCGAAAAAAACTATGTTAAATTGACAATAATCTTGTTAATATTGAGCCAACAAGATTTTATTATCAATTTGATGATTGTTATTTTGTTTCAAACAGTCTTGTTTAACCAACCAATATACATTGTAAATCAGGTATACAGTTTCTTGTTTAACCAACCAATATACATTGTAAATCAGGTATACAGTTTCTTGTTTAACCAACCAATATACATTATTAATTATACAGTTTATATCAGTGGCGTATCCAGGGGTGGCCGAGAGGGCTCAGCCCCCACCCCCCGAAATTTTAGGAAATGTCAAATGCTTTATCTATTATAATTGATTATACAATAATACATAATAATTTTGTAGTTATTAAGGGCTCAGCCCCCCCCCCCACAAAAAAATTCTTGATACGCCGATGGTTTCTATTGTACTATTAACAATTATTAATTTATTATCAGTTATAATATTTTTCTTGTAGTTCCAATAAACACAGTATTGTTTAATTTTTGAATATTTGACATCATACTTAAATCATTCACCAACAGCATTACCAATGAAAAAACTCAATATTTTATAGATTCGAAGAAATATGTAACATATATTTTGTGTGAATAAATAGTTCTGAAGAAAACTTATAATAAAAATAATAGTTATGATCTATTTCCATATATATTGAACTTCAAAAACTTATTGGTATTAGAAAAAGAGTAGCATAATTATTAATTAATGAGTAGTACTATTTATACAAAAAAATAATAAATTTTATCTTAGGTCAAATAATATTTGTCCAAGACATTGACACGGTTTATCAAATTTTGTGTTTAAATTATATAAATATTTTTGAATAAATAACCAAGTAATAGAGGACTCAGTTGGATACTCTAGTTAAACAAATGGATAAATATAAATCATACATCAATTGCATTAATAATTGAGAAAACTTTATACTTTATACAATCAAAAAAAACAATTATTTCTTTTGGATGCATGGATGAACCAACTATTAAAATAAATGGTTGGATAGGGTTTTTTTCATTGCGCCGTAGAGTGATGTATTCCTCAATTTCACAAACCGAATTCTTAAAAATCATGAAGCTATTTTGTGAATCTTTAATAGAGTGTTTCACTTGGTTTATTTTGCCATTATGATCTCTGGTGACTTTTTTAGACGTTGGTACAAAAATGGCATGCAATAAATAAAATAAAACTGCATTAGTTTCATCTGAAAAATACATATAAAAATATATTTCTAATAAATATATTATTTCTGAGCAAAAATGTTAACTTTGACTTATGTCCGGAGTATTCTTTAAACTTTCTAATAATTTGCGACTTGAAGAATCTTTGACTTTCTCATCAAATCCTGGCAGTCTGAATATAATGTCTCGAAGTCAATATTAACCTAAAATTTCGTTTTAAATGTTAAATCATTTAAAAGCAGTTTATACATTTTATAACAAATATGTAAACTATAACAGTGAGCATATTTACACTCAAATTTAAATTTAAATGAATTCAGCAATGAATACAGTTCTAAATTCATACAACCCTACAGATTTTAAATTACATATTAATATATGTATCTTCTTAGGTAATAGGTATATTATTATCTAAGTGATTAACGTGTGTGTGTAAAGTTGGGGTAACAAAGCTAGGGTACCAAAAACTAGTGATAAGAAACCTTGTACGTTGTGTTGCATTTCGTTTAATTTCAGGGGTGTCATACTATTGCACCGAAACTACGGTTTCTTTACGAAGTAGATGTCGCCCTATGTTACACATTAATTTTTGTTAATTGTTTTAAAAGTATATAAATACATTGTATTGGCGTCATCACCACGATAATTATGCCGAACATATTGACAAATAAATAATAGTTTAAAGTTAGGTTATAAATTCAAAACTCCACTATTCCTCTAAAGACTAAAATCAAATGCACGTTGTTGAGTTATGTAATTTGACATAATTTGACTTGAAGTATTTAAAACATCTCATTGTGTGGAAACAGGTATGTAAATCTTTTATTAGTAAAGTTATGGTCTCGATTTCTGGTGGATTTGGTATTAATTTGGAAATGTAATCGTTCCAGTGAATAAGGGCAATCTTTTTAGGTATTTAATAGTTTTAATAAAAATGAATAATGAAGGATACTTCTCCTTGTATTTAGCGATAGTATATTAAAATATGATAATATTCGATTATATTCTGAATGTCGTGGACGTTCGACTTAAAATTTAAATGCTAAAAAACGAATAAAACGATTCTGCACAGATTCAATATTTTGAGTTACCCCTATACTATATTTGAAGACCAAATGAGGGTTGCATATTCTAATTGAGATCTGACTAACGCAAAATAAATACTTTTAAAGGCATTTAAATTATTAAAATTCGTACAAGCTTGTGTAATGAAACCGAGATTGGTTATTTTATCATTGTGTTTATTAAAACATAGTTTAGAATCAAATATGGTTCCTAAGTCAGTAAATGATTTCAAAAGCTCAATAGAAACAGAGGTAGTCGAAATATATCCTCCGTATAATATAATACTATTATTATAATAGCGGTAAACGACGTTTGTAATGAAACAATAGGTAGCGTCCGCGACGCGCGCTGCCATAAATACACCTGTACATATAAATGTATAATGTAATGAATATTATGTTATGTGTATGTAGAATTTGTACTCACCGGTATGAAAAGCGCCCAATACAAAGCGAATAGGAAATCCGAAATAGGCTTTCGTAGATGCGCGTTGTACGGGCGTTTGCCACAAGATGACGTTGGCCGAGACGGTCGCATTTCCCGTCGCTAAAGTTGCCCCCTGCACGGCACCATTACACCGACGTACAAGTATATTCGTTTAATATCCGTTTATCTAATAATAATTCAAATGGCCATACTGTAGTATTGCACGTATTGCGCTCGTCCATCGATACATGTGCGTGGTTTAAACGTAATCCGAAAATTGAAACTTCGTCTTTATATATTTATACACAACACATTCGGAAGTACATTTTTCAAGAGCGGTGTATAGACATGTACACGGACGGCCGTCACACAATTGGGGTGGGGATGAAGGAGAGGGTAGTTGGACTTGGAGAATTAATATTTTGATAGAGCCCGCAAAACAGGTGGAATTGAGACACAATTTGCGTAATCGCATATGACTATAACCTACATAATATATCTGAATTTATCGAACGAGTTAAAATTAAAGCACTACAAATTGCATATCAAAATGAAAATGAAATAACAAAAGTTAATTTTTTTCCCAAAAGTATTGCTAGACCTTAATTATTAAGAAGTTCAAAACATAAGTACCTAGGTCATAAAAATTCAATATAAGATAGATAATCGATAATGATGTATGGTAATTAGGAAAGACTAGGAAGTCCACATGTTTAATTTAGAAAACTCATGAAAATATTTAAGAAAATAAATATGAAAACATATTGTTATTAACATGTAATCATTTATTTTAAACAATAATGTATGTGACAAGGTTACTGCAAGATCTAAAAATTTAAATACTATTTCAAAACTTTTTAAATTACCTCCTGTCGACTAGATAGCATCATGATATTATATTAAAAGACATCAAGGTATAAAATTGTTAATAAACTAACAGTTAATGGGCAAAAATAGTTAAAGTGTAGTTAATTTACCACCAAAGAATGACTTAAATTATGTACAAATAATTATACTAACAGCTTAATAAAATTATTTGATTAAAACTGACTAGGACTTATGAAACCCAAATGAGAATATTCTTCACTAGGAAATGATGATTATGTCCCAGGAGAAGAAGTGAAGTCAACAGTCAATACTATCATGTACTCCTAGACAAAATTTAAAAATATTATTTTACATAATTATTATAAATGAATCTCTATAAAACTCAAATGAATTTACAAGGTGGACCAGGCAATGGAAGAGCCAGTATTTCATTATTACTATAGGCCGCAGTAGAGCATGATTTTTAACAACCTAAATGTATAGTTAGCAATCATAACAAATTTTAAAAATAAATATAAAAATATCCGGATCATCAATAATAGATAGTTGAGTATTTGAGCCACAAGACACTGTTTTAGTTTGATTGGTAAAGATTCTAACCTTGTTACTAGACAACCGCCCTGAAGACGTACTCACATCACAATTGCTTTTTCATCTTTTCCATCTGAATACAAACAAAAATAAAGGGTTATTATTAAAAAGTTAATGCTGTTGAATGTATAAGTTCTTAGTTCTTACATACCTAGAAATAGTGTAGATGTAGGATGTGGCAGAAACTTGTACTCCAAATCGTTAAGAAATATATTTTTTTTAAATGTATTCCATTGTGGGAGTTTGGGATTTTTAAGTCGCCAAAAATCACCCACGTGTCAAGCTGAACACTTTCCACGTGACCTACGAGCCGCACCACGTGTAGGTCCTAAGGCCAAGTCGGTGGAGCCCATAGGTTTTGTACACGCAACGGCAAACTGAATGCCGAGAATTTATAATAAGTTAAAAAATAAAAAAAACAGGAGAGATGTCAGAATAACCTTTTTTGTTTAATGATACCATTGATTATAAATACTATAGATTGCTCACTGGCCGGTTTTTCGTTGGCGTACAATAAAACTCTCGGTAGATGGCGATAAGCACAAACAATAGCATTGATTATAAATACTAGGGTAGGTTAGGTACTAGTATTTATATTTATTTAATATACTTAATTTATACTTACTAGTATTTAATACTAGTATTTATAATCAATGACAATAGTAATAAATTCGTATTTTAATTCCAACCGCCGTAACCATGATTGGTCGCGGTGCGGGTATAGAGACTGCTCAGTTGTACTACTAGAACTCCCTCTGGTGGTGACTTCTCCAAGTTCGTTTATGATACAATTATATGGAAATAAATAATAATAATATGCACAATTGATAATACATAATACTATTATATTATACTAAATGTGTATTTGTCAGTTGGTTACTCAGCAATGAAGCAAACATTATCAATACAGAAGATATAGCTGTTCAATTCAAACCATTTTATAAAATCACATAATATAAATATTCTACAAAACATAAACTTAACTTCAATAGTTATGGAGTTCGGATAATATAATTTAATGAATTCACTTAACACATACACCAAATATACAACGTTTGAATCAATTATAATGTTATTGAGTGCAGCCCTCTTTTTAAACTTCAAGTTTTGATTTATAGTTTAAAATGAATTGGCCTGTAACAAAAGTCCTTACGTTATAATATCTTTATTATTTCAATATACCTGCAAACTGCAATGCCTAACTTTTAAACGGCATTCAATAGTTGTGTACACAATTTGCAATGTTATACTGGATCACTGTGAACACTATATTATATTTTTATTTATTATTGAAAACATTTTATCTTTAACAACTGACTTCTCTTATTAAACATAGTTTCATACTGACTACACTGAGATATATTAATTCCTGGTTTAATAATAGTTACATTGTGATATATATTAAAATGAAATTATTTCCACTCTAAACTCAACTTCACTTATAGGTGATTGAGGAGGAGGGGGAGGGCGTGGAGATCGTCGACGTCCTGATGGAGGAAGAGGATGACATGGAAGTCGTCGAAGTCAAGGTGGTGGACTGGGGGGAGGCCATGGAAGTCGTCGAAGTCCTGGTGAACGACGAGGACGAGGGCGTGGAAGTGGTCGAATTTCGGATGGACGAAGCTCGAGCAGAACTCGAGTTTGCCGACGTGCTCGACGTCGTGCAGCCAGACGTCGACGAAGAGGACCCACGATCGTTACTGAATTACTTGATTGAATACTACTAAACAATAGGGCTTGGATGTTTATGACTGAATATAAATTGTATACCCTAATGTTCAATTTTATTATTGTTCTAACATAATTCCTTATAAGTTTTTGACATAGTACTATTAGTATTAATACATTTTGGGTCATATACATATACTTGCGTATTTTGACATCTCATTTTTTCCAGGAATATGCGTCAGCCGTGGCAGGCAGTACGAGACATAGCCGACGCCGATCCCGTAGGCGTGCGTCCTAGGCCAATTACAATGCATTTCATCGCTGATGCGACCCGAGATCAGCGGCGATACAACCTGCCCACCGCAAATGAAGTTGCGGCCGTGTTCGTGGGTGACGACGGTCGTCCGCCCAGAAACCTCGATCTGGTCGTCTACGACACGAATCCAATCAACCCGCAACACAGGATGCAAAATATACCTGCGGGTTTGTTAATGACTATTTCACACAATTATCTTTTGATTTAACTGTTTATTTACATTCACCACATGAATACACTTTTATTTATTAACACTAGGTGTAACTCTTAAATACTGGCAGTATTGCATTCAATTCGCATGGTTGGGTGTTGTATATCATGCACAACAGTCATTACATTATTAGAACTTTCAGTTTCTCAAATACAGCGCCGGTTAACATAATATCCATCATGTTATTTACTATATATCAATTTTTTACTAAACTGCAAACAACACTCAATTGATTCTTTATGATATCAAAAACTATGTTACATTTGTATCATCGATTGTATTGATAATATAAAGGTAGATTTTTTTTCACTCAAAAATTCTATGTGCATTTATGAATTACCTACATTTACGCACGCACATCTTATGGCAATGCGTTATTTTGTGTGTTTTATGTGTTGTTTATTTACCAACTATTTTATCATTAATCGAACCTACAGTTACATTACTTCAATGCTTAATTCACTGTGTGAATTATTTTAGAAGTTGTCGAATCCACTCGACCTGCAACACAGGACCGACTAACTAGAGTTACTAACTGTTTCACACAACATTCTTTTTGTTATTGAACACATACAACTTCCATTTAATTGGCACTATCAGATGATTCAATTATTCACTAAATTTATACAATATTGTATTAATTAACACTACTAGGATTATGAATTACTTTGTACACCTCATGGGTAATAAACATACACAAATAATATATATATTCACCCTAAACCTTAACCCTTTCACTTGTAAATTCACACCTGGGAGTACTGCATTTTAAAATTCACTTGGTTGTAAATAATTTTTTGAATTCACATTAATAACAAAAGTCATTGAGTTACTACACAGTTTGCTAATTCATGAGTAATTATGACTTATCCATCCAATCGCAATAAACTGTTTTATGTCTGTTGTTTACTAGATATTTTATCATTTTATTGCTTCAAAAAAAATGCTTAATTAACTTTACTTTCATTTTATCATTTGCTTAGGACCATAACAAAGATGTGCAGAGCACAACAAGCATAGCAAAAAGTCAAATGATTAATAATTAAAATGTTACACTGCAGTGCCACACTTACTGTTGTATTTAGTAACATATTTAATGTTCAATCCAATTTGTATCTACATGTTTAATATCATTGTATGTCATCTGACTCAGTACACTGTAGTAATAGTTGAACCCGGGATATGAAGTTATCAACATTAGAGGTTAATAGTTTATACTTTTTGCCTATGGAATATTATACCATCATTGGTAATAAACACACACATTATATAGGAATTATTCACACATCACATAAACACAAAATGTACACTATTCACTCTAAGTGCTACTAATATACAGTTCAATGCTTCGGACCGTCATTATTACTCAAAGATGATTTCATTGACTTAATCATAAATATTTTTAACTCAGAATTTGGGACTTTTACACATGCCTTTCTTAAAATATGTACTCACTACACACGACTCCATGACCCTGACTCTCAGTCAGTCGTTTAATAATTCACTTGAAATGACGTATTTTAGGGTCGTGTCACGCGGATCCGATGTTGTATCCGCTGTTGTTCCCGAGCGGGGAAGCCGGTTGGCATTTCGAGATGAGGCAAGAGGGCAACCGACGTAATCAAGTCCGCAATCGAAACAGTATAAGAGAGTTTGCGTGTTACCGTTTGGCCATTCGTTATCGGGGAAATAATGATGAGAGGCACGAACAGTTCAGTCTAATACATGCTGGTCGATTTTTGTTACAGCAGTATGTGTGCGACCAGTACGTTCGAATCAGCGAGCTCTCCTCGTCGAAGCTTACCAAGGGCTCATGGACCACGTGAACCAACAGCACCACTTAGACGTGGCCGATCCCATGGCGGTCGGCCGGAGGGTCATTCTACCGTCCAAGTTCGTCGGAAGTCCTCGATACATGAAGCAGTGATATCAGGACGCCATGGCCATAGTTCGTAAGTACGGTAAACCCGACCTGTTCATAACGTTTACGTGCAATCCCAGGTGGCCTGAGATCGCGGACAATCTGGCGGCCCACAGCACGGTGAGCGACAGGCCCGAACTGGTGGCCGGGGTGTTCCACATGAAACTGCGGGAGCTTATAGGTGACATAACTGTTAATCGTGTGTTTGGTAATGTCCTTGCTTACGTGTACACCATCGAGTTTCAGAAACGCGGTCTGCCCCACACGCACATACTCATCATCCTGGCGGAGGATAGTAAGTTGCGCACGGCAGAGGACGTCGACGACGTGGTTTGCGCCTACCTGCCGCACCCGGAAACCAACAGGCGCTTACACACGTGCGTCACGTCGCACATGATACACGGGCCTTGTGGAAGGGTCAACCCACAGTGTCCGTGCATGGTGGACCACTGTTGCTCCAAAGACTACCCGAAACCATACGCAGAGGAGACTGTGTATGTTTCGGACAGCGGTTACCCAAAGTACCGCCGACCAGACGACGGTCAAGTGGTCCTCATGAGAAATCACGAGGTCGGCAATGAGTATGTAGTTCCTCACAACCCGTACCTCTTGGAAAAGTACGACGCACACATCAATGTCGAGGTCTGCTCCTCCATAAAGAGCGTCATGTACATCTACAAGTACATCTACAAGGGGCATGATTGTGTGACATCGGAGGTTTTTGACCAGGATGAACTAGCAAAGTGAGACTCAATGGGTATTACAGTTATAGTAGAAATTATTAAAGCAATAGCCCTACACTTGTGTGATCAGTATAAACAAGAGTATAATTATTTCATTTCACACTTTTCATACCAAAACTTCACAAATAAATTAAAAATTTCAATTATACACCCCGTGGCAAAGCGAAACACACTTTATTGATAACCTATTTATATTAAATTGCTGTTATTTCTGTTTCAAATAAAATGCAACGTACGGTTTCTGTGTATTCTCGTAATATATTATCTGGCTGTTTATACCGGCAATATTCATGAGTGAAAAGAATACTGTAAGTGACCACCTACAGCTTACTCTTGCGACAGAGTACTCTTCTTTTTTTTCATCCACAACATCAACACCTGATTTTGTTGAATTATAGTATAAAATCACTTCGGGTTTTTTGCCAACTGTACTTTTTTTTTTTTTTTTTTTTCGTGGTATCGAGAACCGGAATGGGGACTGCTTTCGCATTGCGTCCACTTGCTTTCGCATTGCGTCCACTGATTTCGCATTGCGTCCACTAACTTTCGCATTGCGTCCACTAGCTTTCGCATTGCGTCCACTATTTCGCATTGCGTCCACTTTTTCGCATTGCGTCCACTTTTCGCATTGCGTCCACTTTTTCGCATTGCGTCCACTTTTCGCATTGCGTCCACTTTTGCCAACTGTACTGTCATCAATCAAACCTTTTTCGTGCATTGTAGATATTAGCATAACATTTTTGTTTTTACGTGGAACGTAGGATAATAAAATAATATTTTTCCCATAACCGAATATAGTTGAATTTACCTCTCTTTTCTTTGTATCTAGAAAGCATTTCGGAATTTCTCGTTTATTTTTCCTGATGGTTCCCACAATAGTTAATTTATGATTTTCCAGCAAGTCAATGGCCAGTGGTATTGAGGTATACCAATTGTCCATAGTTATGTTTCGTCCCGTTTTTGATATCGGAGAAATTAACCTTTTTACAATGCTGGAGGGGCTATTATCACATTTGAATGGTCCATCTGGTTGGGTGCCAACGTATACTTCCATATTTGACGTGTAATATGTTTTAGAGTCGACTAATGCTTGTATCTTTATCCCATATTTATTCGGCTTGCTCGGTATATATTGCCTAAAACTACATCGACCTCTAAAACCTTCCAACATCTCATCGATGGTGCAATTTTCACCGACGGAATAACATTCAAGACAACGTTCTACAAATCCGTCAAAAACAGAACGTATTGGTGCTAATTTGTCTGTAGTCTTTCTATAATTTCTTGTTTCAATGTCATCAAATCTGAGTGCCCGTAGTAGAATGTAAAATCGCTGTTCAGACATGGTTGATCGGAAATATTCCGGTCGAAACCCTTCATCACACCATAAATCCTTTAGATTTACATGCCTACTGCGTAGAAATCCTGCCAAGTATAGTAGTCCAAGAAGCGCATCAATTTCTTCTTTATCAGTA